ATGAGTTGCCACAGAAACTGATGGATGGACACGCGTTACACATCCTGACCGTCCCTACGTCTAATCTCATAGCTTCTTATTCAAATGTCATATGATAAGCAAGTAATGCTTCTACCGACACTAATGGACCACGAGTAATTCAAAGGCACCCTATATGGTACTTTACATTGGTCTACGCACTCATTTAGCTCTTTAGTGAGAATATTACTACAGTCCTGCTAAAAAACCCATGAACCCATGAAGTCTGTATTTGCTGCATATAGCAATTTTATTTTTCAGAAGATATAACAGTTAGAATTGGAGTAAAATAACAATATACAACAGATGCATGTGGTACATGTCTTCACCGAGCAACTGAAATAGAGAATACGGATATTAGCTTAACATGCTTATTTAGGAAGACTAGTGTTTACTTTGAACTTACTGTGTGAGAAAGTTATACTGGAACTGTGAATAATGTAGGAATCTAGTCTCCCAGGGCGTACGAAGCACTCAATCTGGAAGACGGTTGTCCCAAAATAATTCGAATATGAAGGTGAGAATTTGCAGGTACTTTTCATCGTAAAGGTGAACATATTAGATAACGGTTGACGTCATACTGTAGAAAAACACAAATTTGCGAGTGGTGAATTATGGTCTATAAAGAGCTGAGCTTAATAACAGTTAGTTACCTTTTTACTCCCTGATCATGGCCCTTCGGCTTCCTTGTGTGGCCAAAACATACACTACACACTGATAGCAGATTTCCGGCTTTTCAATGTTAAGCTTGCTTTAACGCACTACGTAATGCGTACAACCCCTCCATTACTGCTATGTGGCATATTTTTTCATAACAAACCCTCTGCAATAGATTGGTAGCATCTGTGGTTGTCGGAAGCCTGGGTACTTTCGAAAACAATACTGACAACCCCTACTGCTAGGCACTAAGTATTAGTTTGACTCGTTGGTGGGATATTGTTGTCCGCAATACTGAAGAACATTAAAAACCGGAAATTGTTCCCTTTCATTTTGCCGATAACATCATAAAGGACAGTTAGGAATGAACACGCGGACAGTTAGTCACAGGAGGCAGCAACAGTTATTTCAGCTAAGAAAAAACGAACTTCGGCTTTGGACATCTAGAAAACAAGTCAAAACTAAACCGATTTTCATTTTAAAACATAAGACTAACCAGCTTGACTGAAGAAATACATTGACTAGAGTAGAAGCAGCAAAAACCCAAAAAACAATGCTGATTCGAAGTAAATTTCACACCAACATGTAGAACATTACACTAACTGCGGCATCTTAGCACATTGAAACATTAATTACATAGCTACACAAAAGAAATAGCTAAAAGAAGCACAGAGCGAAGATAGCCGACCGCCATTACGTACAAAGATGGCTGATATAATAATTCCCGCCACATTCTGATTGGTTGCTAAGCTGAAGGGCACAATAACGAAATTGAGTTGCGTTTAATTGCAGCCAGTTGGTGTAGTCGATGGTGTGACTTCCACGTAAGGTCCTATAGATTAGGCAGTCATATCATGACACATCTACAATTTTAGGATTAGGTCTATTATTAGAGCAGTACAAATATCATAGTAGACCATGATTCTACAAATGCTCGACACACCAAATAGGGTGCTGTGATATTGTTCAAAGAAACACGTAAAGCATATATTAGATGAGAATCTCATGCACACAGGATCATCAAAGCATCTTTCAAAACAAAAAATTAGTAAATCATAATGAATGCTTTCCAATGTTATACACCCACCAAGTGTACCAATGAAGATGATGAAGATCAGTTCTATGGGAGTCTGGAATCGATCATAGTGGAGTGCGCAGGAAACATCATTACCAAGGTTGGATATAGCCTTCCTTCAAGATACTAACAAATTCAACGAATTCAAGATAGCTCTCAACAACAGGTTTCAAGCCTTACATGAACTACCGAAAGTAGAAAAAAGTACTGTGGAGAATGACTGAGAATCGACCAATTTAGTACTAAATTTCACGTGATATCAGGTGTTGGCACTCAAGAAGTACCATCATAAAAGTGGGCCTCCATCGATACCCTGTGCGGGATTCAAGGAAGGGTGGACAAAAAGACAACAATTAGTAACAACCGAAGGAGAGCAAGTAAAACCAAAGGTACAGGACGAATACACGGGAGCAAATAATCCAGTGAAGTGGAGGAATAGGGCTGACAAGCAGAAGTATATGGAAGATTAAGCAATGATAGCGGAAAAATCTGCAAGAGAAGGAAATCTGGAGAATCTATTTGGTACAACGACTAAACTGGCGGGGAAATACAGCGAACTGAAGCGACCAGTCCAGAACAAACAGGGCAAGTCAATCACTGAGATTCAACAACAGGGAAACAGATCTGTCAAACAGTTAGCGTAACTTTTGAACAGACAAGTTCAACTGAACCCACTGGACACCGTAGCAGCACCTACAGACCTTCCTATATATGTCGGGATGTCCGCCAGATGAATCAAAAGTCGAGAATCATCAGGACATTCCATTTAACAATATTATTATTGCTTTGGTTGTTTAGAAGAGATATTGACCACGTGATTTCCAAAGAATCTAGACCTTTACCATTGGGCGTAATAATACTTTCAAGTGAAGATGCTTCAACTCTCAATGCACAGCATAATTGGCTTCAATTTATTTTTCTGACTAGCGTTGTCTTATCATGGTTGCTGACTGTGTCTGATCCCTCTCCGTCACTCCTACTTGTAAAAGGTAGCAAACCTAAATAGGTTGATGGCAGAGTTATCAAACCGTTATTGATTTACGGTAACTGTCTTTTGTAACCTGTGTCAAAAAATTCACAATTAAGTATGACAGTTGACAACGATAAGTTAAAATTGTTTAAGTACACACATCAAACTTGAAATCTGTTCCTTGGTCACATTCGTTAGTTGCTGAATCCATTTGGAGTGACTTGATAGTGTTCACCCATCTCTGTCATCAAAGAATACTAGAGATACTGTTTCATACGATGTGTAAAGCACAAAAACATGGTACGAGTTATACACGCTAAATGGAGTTGATTAACACAATACGTTTTGATAAGGCACCAGCGGTACCAAACCACGCCACTGTACTCCATGGTGAATGTATTAAAATCTTTATATCAGGGAATCATCCGCCACCTATTCCTCACTTCAAGACAATCCTTTAACATATCTAACGGCCAGCCCATTGTTCATTCACAAATCTACTGTTCTTATAAGCTTGGAGTGGTATTGCTTCCAAATCACAGGGTTCTCGAAGCTGAACATATAATTGTTGAGGAGATTGACACTCAACATGTAACACTTGGAGGAGGTCGGTAATGGTGAATGCCGGAAGGAACATTCGGGATAGCATGGTTCAGCCATTTACATGTGGTTGCTCCATGTAACTTCATGTTCATGTATTCAACATACCACTCGTTACCCAGCCCAAAATATGTTCTTCAGAAGTGTCTGACGTTATCTTGTTGATTGACGGAGTTTTCATACATTAACGATTCCTCCATGAACATTGTCTGCTCTGTCCCTCGTCTTTCCTTTTCTCACACCCTTTCCAACTCCCTTGGGATATGCCACCGAAAACAGGTATGTACCGAGTGACTTCTTCCTGAGCCATCACTAAAGTCTCAGACGTTCCAGGGAGATATAACGTTGAGGTTTCTAGAAGCCCCCAACTCCGCGTGGATCTATTCCCGACCATCAGTTGCACGCCGCGACGTAACTTTCATAAAGCGCGCCAACTGTGGTGTCAACAACACGGGTTTTACCAAAACCATCTACATTCATATCTTATAAAATATCAATCCAACTGAGTAATTAAATACTGTGAAATTCGTATCATAGTAAGAATTTGATCTTTCCTGTAAACTGCCATACCTCACGTAACAAATTGTCATTTGAGAATAAATTATTATTAAATAAACCGTTCTATGATGCATCAATAATTGTAGTCCTTAAAATAAGTATTTTGCGAAAGCCGATATATTCAGGGAAGTTTCTAGATTTCAAGTCTGAGCATCCACACTCTGCCAAAGTGACAGTAAAATTAAAACACGAATTTCAGCGAAGGGATCTCTTTTCAACGAATTTATTATCAAGCTGTACAATCGTATATATATGAAAAATTTTTTGATTTTGTAAAAGTACTAATTCCGTGAGGAAATGTGAACACAGTTAATAAAAAGGTTATAATACTAGATTACGTAATATGAATAATAATAATAACAATAGATTTAGTGATTATAATAAGATGATTAAAATGTTTTTGTTATAATAATAATTAAAGGTCATAGAGGTGTAAAAATAAATAAATATGGTGATATGATGAGTATTCACTAATAAAACAATCAGAATATAAGATATAAGTAAAGGGGAGAATGCAGTAATAATAATAATAATAATAATAATAATAATAATAATGATAATAATTGGATAATCAAAATACTTAAGGCCAAGGTAACGATAACGATAAGACGTACTTCTACCTCACGGAATTAGTACTTTTACAAAATCAAAAATTTTTTCATATATATACGATTGTACAGCTTGATAATAAATTCGTTGAAAAGAGATCCCTTCGCTGAAATTCGTGTTTTAATTTTAAAGTGACAGTAGCCAAAAACTTGATCATCAGAGTCAAAAAAATTGTCACTCAACCTAATGATATAAAAATGGAAGTGAATTTATTTGTATCCACTCTAATGATGAATAATTATCCGAAGGGTTTTATTAAAAGAATGATTAAGAATGAAGAACAAAATGTTATTGCTAAAAAAAGAGTTAAGCAAAAAAAATAGATTAACACAGTGGTGATCCCGTACCGTAAAGGTATTTCAGAAGAGATCAGAAGGATTCTAACTCTTGAAGATATAAGAGTATTCTTTTAGCGAAACAATACTCTAAGATCAAACCTAATAAGAATAAAAAATCCGATATACAAGGAAGAACAACGGACTTGTCCACATGAAATCAAATGTAATGACTGTAATGCAACGTATGTAGGTGAACCATCAAGGCAACTGAATGTGAGGGTGAAGGTGTAACAGCTTAGGTTGGTTGGTTAAAATTTCATCTCAAACAACTAAGCATATGTCAAGACAGTACAGTCCAAGTATTCAATCACTTCCTTATTTTGTATAGGCGTTATATTTCCTATTATCTTATATTGAATGTTGAGAGGCTTTGTTTGTCTGAACAAACAATCCCACGCTCCACTGTGACTGTGCGACGATCTAAATAAAGACCTATTTAATACTTGTCTGGTTTCTTCTATCAATAGCATGAGGGTTACCTAGAGGCACAAACCTGGTGAGCCCTATCGAACACGAAATTAACCTCATTTTTGTTATTAATAATATTTTTTTGTAAAAGTAGACCTTCTGGTAGTCCGTAAACCATGTTGGGTATATACATAGTTTATCTTTTTATCTTGAGGTATTCGTTTTGTGGTAACCATTTGATGTGCTAATTTTTATACTCTATTGGTCTCATACCTCATGTCAAACTTCTTTTCTCTCTTCTTTCCCTCTAAATAAATATTCTTAAAATTACGAAGTTCGTAATTAAGACAATAATTTGTGTTACACTTAAATTAACTTCTCAGACCCATTTTATCTTCACTCTGCATATATGACTCATACATATTGATATTTCGTTATCCTTTTCACTTAACTGAAACTTTCATAGCATCACTCTAAGCTATGGCTGCGTTTTATGAGATGGTGGAGAAGATTTTTAGCTCAGGTGGATGATTTTGGTGGAGTTTTGTTCTCTGAGCTGGAAGAGGAACGATGAAAGCTCCACGCCCAAACCATCCAGCTCAGAGAACAAAACTCCACCAAAATTCTAGCGTTTTATCTTACAGCAATCATAAGCTATTTTTTTCTAATTATTTTTTGCTACTAATTTGATGATATATACATAGTTGTTTGTTCTTGTTTTATGTTCCTAAACACGCCAATTAAACTGTTTGCGTATTTCACGTCTCCTTTATTACTATTCCTTTATTTTCTCCATTTCCTTCTTTAAACTCAATTCAATATTCTTCTCAATTGCACAGACCTAATTTATTATAATTAATATTCTACTATTATTACTCTAATTTTTTTAAATATGGCAATTATAATGCTAACACTATTGAAAATTGTGTATTATTGCATTTTTTGAAGAAACCCGAAATGGTTTCTTCACAACACTTGTGTAATCATAAGATGTTTGTGAATAATAATAATGATAATACAAACCCAAAACCTTGAGGATTTGTCACCAGTGGAGATAAACATTATTACGACCACGCTTAGTGCCGACTCAACCAAGTGGATGCAATCATGCACTCGGCCTAAACAGAATCCCAATAAGATGGGAAACAAATAATGCCTTACCAGGTTGCGACGACTGAGGAGTATCGACTAAATAGACGCTTGCCTTATGTTAGACACAGAAAATCAGGCTTAAAATTCTTGATGGATACTGATGCTACTTTCAGTACCGTTTCTCAAAACGAAATTGAGCTGGGTCGAGAAATATCCCAGGTAACACATCAAGTGATCAACAAAACTGAGATTGCTACATTTGGGCAGAAAAATTCAACAGTAGATTTGGGGTCTAGGAGACAAATCCCCTGGGTTTTCACTATCAAAGAATATATGGACACCATCAAACAATACCCCATACCTAGTTCTCTAACACAACTAAGAAGTTTTCTAGGTCTAAGTAACTTTTGTCGCAGATTCGTACCCGATTGTACACAACTAATGCAACCTTTGACAGATTCACTTAAAGGAAAATCAAAAGAATTCAAGCTGTCTACCGAGGCCTTTGAAGCTACTAAACAGACAAAAGGTAAACTGGCTCAAGGAACTACACTGATGTATCCGAATTCTCTTCCCCAATTGCTTTGATGGTGGATGCTTCAGATAAAGCAGTAGGCGATACCCTTAACCAATTGCTTAAAATGCCTGTAAACCACTTGCTTTCTTTCCTAAAAGACTCGCTACAGCAGAGACAAGTTACTCAACCTACGAGCGAGAATTTCTTACAATCTACTTAAACATTAAGCATTTCCGACACATGTTAGAAGGCAGGAAGTTCATAGTCTTTACGGATCACAAACCATTGAACAACTCACTAGAAGTGAGAACCAATGAATACTCACTTCGAGAAGTCCGATACCTTGACTATATATCACAGTTCACAGGCGATATCCGACATGTCAAAGGTCATGACAATCAGGCGGCAGATGCATTATCTCGACTAGAAATGAACGTGCAACAGCAGTCTACACTAAACTTCGAGACGTTGAGACACGAACAATTGCAGGATCTAGGATTGCAAAACCTACTTAAAACAAACAGTTCAAGTCTTAATCTAAAACAGTTACCATCACCTATTGATGGTATTCTAATCTACTGTGACACGACCAATGCAATACCACGACCTTTCTTTCGAAAATTTAATAGAAAGTTGATACATAATGACTCTCATTCTTTGTGTCATCCTGGCGCAAAAGCTTCAACTGAACTAATCAATGCCAAATATATATGGCCGAATTTACAGGAGGATGAACATAAGTTGTTAAATAATTGACTGGAACATTAAAATAACACAAAATTCCGATTACAAATACATTCCTCTTTGAATTTAGTCTTTCATCTTGTTTGTTTCTCTTCATTTAATGCATGCTGTGACATTTTGATTCATATCATATATAAAACGTAATGTTTTCTTAATATACACAGACCAACGACAATATGTAATAGGATGAAATTTCTTCACACATCACTTACCTATACACACAATCTATTAACTTAACACTCTTCGTTTCACACCAGGATGTTAATAGTAAGTGAAGGAAGTTGTTTCCTTGTTGCTACCGAAAATAGCCTTAAGCATCAAACTTAGCAAATGATTAATATGAAATTCCCTTAGTGCAAGTGGCTTCAGGAAGCTGAAGTTGAGAGCTTATAAGTCGCATATTACAAGAGAAGTCTTAGCCTTTTCTGAAAACCATAGAGAAACCGTAAAGACTCATATCAACCTACTTTACATAAGAGTATTAATCCAGATCAGTCCACTTACAAATACAAATAAAGTATATTGGATGCTGCTGCTGTCTCACGTCTCAGTACAGAGTTTAGTGTGAGAAAAGGTGATAAGTATGTTTGGTTTAACATGGATGTTTAGTTAGACACTTAGGCACACAAGGCATGTAATCATGTCGGAAGAAATACACTGACCTGTGTAGTAGTACTAGTAGTAGCGAAAAAAATGAGAAAACAAAACATTTCAAAAATTAGCGCCACCATTTACACCATCAAATACATTATAGAATTTCGACAAACTGAAGGATCAAATTTTGTAGCGACAACAAAACATCAAGAGGAGAAACGTACAGCACAGGGCAAGACAGACAGATTTTCTTATAAAGTCGGTCAAAATGGAAATTCCCGCTTCATTCTGGTTGGTCTCTATGTAGACTGTCGAAATTACAGAATCGAAACCCTGTATTCAAAAAAGGCTCACGGCCTTTGTTAGTATTTTTAGTAAGCTTGTGAGTGCCTAATTTTCTTTTGAATGAGTCATTTAAAGAAGCGGACATCAAGTCTTCGGGCAACAGGTTCCGGGAATTGATTACTCGGTGTGGAAAGCTGTACTCTACGGGCATTTTCTTTATTTTTGACTTTTTTTATTCGACCACACGTTCTATGAGTTGCCTTGACCTGATATGAAGAAAAACGGGGGATGTATCAGGTTCGAAATCAGGTCACCTCTTAATCTATGGTGCAACAGAGTGAAAAGGTCTAATTTCTGTAGTTGCTGTTCGCACGCTACGCCCCAGAGTTCCGAAATAGCAAGGGTAGTTGCCCTCCATGCTTCTTCTACGATATCCGTGTAGCGGTAAATAAATTCCCAAACTAAATAGCTCTGTAAGATTTCGACATTGTTTTAGTGGACTCATCTAGCTGAAGGCGCTCGGTCATGCATCCACACCAGATCACGTGTGGTAACGCTGTGTTCAACATCTATTGCAATCGCTAGCCAGATTATATCAGAGAATTCCGATATATTGGTTATCGCCAAATACACTCTTCCAATCTTCTCGACTCTGTCTTTTGACTTCTCTCGGCGGGTACAAATTATATTAGGTGTTGCTGGTAAAAGCGTTGTCAAACACTGAATACCTGTATCATCCTCATCCGAGTAACATTTTAGACGGGGATTTGCAGCCTGAACTCAGTTTTCAAGTTTGAATCTAAGTTTATGTATACCGTATTGGTAAATATCCGTCTTAAAGCCCTTAGGATTGTAAATACTTTATCTGCGGTCGCATGGAAGCATGCTATGTCCTCAAGATCATGTCTCACGGTTACACATAGGTCATCGTGAGACAGGACTACAGGCATTAAATCTTCCTGTATCCGCAACGTGCATGTGGACACACCTTGTAGCCTTGATGGGTGTCATCTATTCTTTGGACCAACCAACCAGAATGTATACACCCGTCTGAAGTACACATTCCATTGAGTCTTTCTTACCAGATTTTTACATCATCAGTCTCTTGTAGCACACTAGACTCACCAATACTTATTTCATGGATATAAACACAAAGCAACACAATAAAAAGATAAAGCAACCTATGACAGAGCCTTGCGGCACTCCATTGTGTACTGGTTTCTAAGATGAGCATTTGGAATTTCTTATTACTTTCTATGACTTACCAAGAAATCCCTGATCTACTTTAAGAAACGTCAGGTAATTGCTAGACTTTCCAGACTCAAGAGTAGTCTATTTATAAGTCACGAGCTGGAGGTGAGCTTATTTCCAGTCTAAATTTTCGATAATGCAATGAGAAGACGAAGTTTGTCAGAATTATGTGATATATTTGCGCAATGCATATCGAACAATCTGGTCACACATATACTTGTTAAGAACATTTATGTATGAAAGTTAGAAGGTTGAGGATCGGGACATCTCAGATAACATAGCGGGCGAGTAGAAAAGCCAAGAACAAACAAAATACCCGTGTCATACAGGTTTTTACACTGAATCCTTAATACTTGAAACCTGTTACCCAAAGCAGTGGTGTCTGCACCTTCAATTGACTCATTCAAGAGAAGACTGGACACTCACAGTAGCATACTAGAAAAGGAATAACATAGGCCTTCTGTCCTTACCACACAAACCTGAATCTAAATAGTTTGCTAATTCCGTTAAGTTTGTAGGTCGCAATTTTGGCTCCAATTTTGGTGCGACAGTCGTAACAGTAAGGTAGGGACGACTTTTGGTTTGAAATTACTGATTGGTAGGATCGATACTTTTTGTTGGGCAGTTGTAGTTAGTTAGAAGCTAATTGTGCTGAGAATATACGTGCATCTCATCGGCGTTTTCACACGAACGGCAATTCAAGACACTTTAATTGGGTTTATTTCAGTTGAAGTTTACGATAAGAGTGTCGTTTTTATGTCTAAAGTAGTTTATCGTCAGTACTTTTGAGTAGTTTGTCTTCCTACTGCATTTTTTGGCATTTTGGTTGTAACAATCTACAAATTTCCCCCTTTATTTTGGTCATAGATCATTTTTGTCTCTGAGGATCATTGCATCTAGTTCTTTTTTTTAAAAAAGACCCCTGTTTAATGACTGGACAGTGCAAAGAAGCAATCGCCAACGTCCAAGCTGTCGATATTTTGTTTTTTAGCAAGCGCCGTCGGGACACATCGGAAAGCACTTGCTCTGTCGACACGCAAATTGATGTGAAGCAACCTCAAGTGGGTTCGGAAACAGCTGACTTACATCGATCAAAGAAGAAAAGACAGTCTTCAGAGTGGTTTATCTTAATTAGAAACTCAAGAAAGGAGGTTTCTTCTGTTCCTCATCCTCTAAATAGTTTCCAGGGGGAAACACTTAGGAATCGCGATCGCAAGGCTCGTTCTGTTTCTAGTAAGAAACACAACCTGAATTCCCAAGTCGTTGATAACCCTCCGGAATCCCACAGTATGCTTGACGCGAGTGTGGTCGCTACTCCAACGAAAGTTGACGAATGGGTACAGGTCGTAAGCTAGAAATGACATAACGATATAAAAGAGAATCCTACCTCCTTAAAGTAGTCAAGAAATTGAAGACTAATCACAGTGGTAGGTCAGTTATTTTTCATAGAATCAAGAAGAGAGTGAAAGCTCTGAACCAAAAACTCGTTTTGAGCATGACACTGGGTTGATAAAACAGCTACTAATTCAGCTTATGCTTCAGGATATCTACGGAGTCACCTTGCTAAAGGTGTACAGACTATGTAGTCAAGCGAACTTGAAGCTCAATCAATTCAGACTGCTTAAAGTAGTATTCAAGTCTCCATAATGGACATAAATTAAAGGGTTCAGAAGTTTTTGTCCGTAAGGACGTGAGGCTGGCCGACAGTGTAGAAAGACGGGAAGCCGAAAAAGAACTACGACTTAGGTTAGATGCTGGAGAAAAGGACCTTAGAATCGTAAATTTTTGAGATGTGAGGCTTCGGCGGGAAATGATGCCGAAGCCACTCTGGGTGTAGCACGAAACCATTTAAATAGGCTTCGGATCTGTTACACTAATGCCCGAAGCATGCTCAATAAGCGGTAGGAACTAGGTGTACAGATTGACTCCACAAATCCAGATATAATTGCATTCAAAGAAACTTGTCTGACGCAGTCTATAGATAATATAAAACTTGATTTCCAGGGTTTTACGTTAGTAAGAGCCGACAGAATCCAGAAGCGTAAAAGAGGGTGAGTAGCTCTATTTATTAGGAATGCTATTCCATTTGCCATTATCGACAGTGTATCCCATGAGAGTGGGACATGTGAACTAGTTAGTTGCCGCTTGAAATGCAAGGGTCAGGAGCTGCTGATTGGTTTAGTCTATCGCTGTTTAGGCTGGGAGGTACATGAGATCTTGCTAAACAGTCTCAATACTTGGTCACAAAGTGGTCGATGTCTAATCCTAGGGGACTTTATTGCACCTATGGTAGACTGGGAAAATCTGCGAACTGAATTGTCAGATAATTCCTTCGAGCATGAACTAGGTGATGCGGTTATCACATGTGCCCTAGTGCAACATGTGAAAGAAGCTTCTTGAGGGACCTGAAAAAGAAGCTGAGTTAGTGGTGATCGTGACCGCAGAGTTCAGGAGAAAACTGCTTGAGGCCGATCGCGTACTGTCTTATGGTCTTGCGGTCGGAGACGGAAATCCGTGGGTTAAGGTGTGACATTTTCCAACCCCTTCCTTCCATTGTGAGAAGGCACCATCGCTGCAGATGCTGGCTGTCCAAAGGAAACACTTTGTTGTTGTCACACCCATCTACATGCAGCAGTATGACTTCGCCCTCGGATCTTAAGTTGCGGTTTTTAGTCTAACCGTTCTCCGTCCGACCTGTTGGGATAGTAGGACCTAGACAAATACGTGTCCCACCCAACATAGCCCAGTTGAGTCATCACGACAAGCAAGCCCGATTACCATATCAAAGTAGCAGCTACGGTCGGGAAAGGGGGGGCTTGCTTACCATTCATAGCGTCTGTTTACTGTACGAATATGATATTTCATGTCTCATGAACGATAATTGATCTGACTGTGCAAAATATTATTGTTTCTTGGGGAACTTAATCCTTTTGGTTATTTTTTCACTAACTTTCAGCTTCATCTCAAAACTGATAAAATTCGAAAGCGAATGACTGAAAGCTCACATTCATGTACCAGTCATACAGTTTTTCACCAATCAACTCACCAAGATTTAAGTGAAATGGATTTTGAGAGAGGGATTTGGGGTGCTTCCACACGTGGTCATATTGATCGCGTTCGGAAATTGTTAGATAAACATATTAATGTTAATATACCAGACAGTTATGGGTACACAGCTCTGGTAAGTTAAAAGCGATATCTTATTTGCTAGCATTATGCTGCTAGAAATAATCATAAAGATATTTGTAATGTATTATTAGAAGCTGGGGCTGATATTTTCGCCAAGACAAGAAATGACGGGGCTACACCTGCACATCGGGCAGCATATGCAGGACACCTTAGTATTTTAAAACTGCTTGTTGGCAAAGGGGGAGCACCAGTTTTAGAATCTCGTGATAACGATGGTAGGAACTGCTTGCATCACGTAAGTAGCCATATCCTTCATTCAAGGTTTATTTCCTAAAGTATTTTACATTTCAAACGTACTGTTAGAGCCATTGAGTTATTTTTACTGTTGCAATACCGATTTTCGTGTGAGTTTCCTAGTTTTTGTTTAGCTATGTTTTTTACCTCTTGTTGTATACTGAATGTGGTTGTTTAAAATAATAAGTGCTTGACTTAAGCTTAATTACGTTCACTAACTCACTTGTATCCCAGTACTTCCGTCTGCTAAAATGGTGGTCATAAAATGTACTTTCCGAATCCGTGTTACTTAAGATCAAATATTAACACCATTATCAATCTTATTAAGTATTTTCCGCGGATTTGTTTATTATATATATATTTTCATTTGTTTTCAGGCGTACCGGGGGAAACAGAAAAATACAATAGATTGGTTGTTGGAGAACTATCCTAATCTATCTAGTACTAGAGACAACAATGGTCTTCTTCCTGATTCCGTTGGCCAGTCAAGTAATGAAGTTCACTGTCATGAGTTAAATATATGGTCTATAGTAGATAAATAACCCACATTAAGGCTTTTCTCTTTTATATCCAAACCTGATTTTGTGTATAACTAGGTCACTGTATATTCATCACCACATACTTTAAAACTGATGGTTGAGTAAAATCTGAGTTGGAAATAGCACTAGTTTACCATTTTTTTTGTTTAGACTGTTGCCGTAAATTCGTACTATTACGTAACAACGTAAAAGTCAGATTTCGCAGAAAAGCGACAGCATTCTTCCAACGCTACACATTGCCTGTAATCATGCAAAGGTAAATACACAATTAGTCTTTAGAGTTTGTTTCACGATTAAAGTATTACCTTGTGAATGGTATTTGTATTGCTACTTAATTACTAGATAGCAATGTCTTTTTACGTAATCATGTCCCTTAGTATTACTTAGGCACAGAATATTTTAAAATACAACACTTCTAGTTCAAGCTATATACTTGATACTGTGGTCTAGATTCAATATGACCTATAATAGTCAGCATGGTGTCAACGTTAATCATTTTAAGCAATACGGTTGATATCCAGTGCCGTAAATAATAAACCTAAGGCTGTTTAGTTTACTTGTTACCGGCTGGTTACAAGATCTTAAGTTCCTTAGGATTTACGTTTCATTAGAAAAGGCCTCAGTCGTCGCAGTTCTGCCAAGAGTCTATGAAATTACTTTTGGTTCCCTTGCTATATGTGCCCATTCATTACTGGTAATGTCTAGTTAATCTACTTTATAAGCTCCATCGCTTTGTTAAGTAACGGTATTTACACCGTAATCAACAATGTTAAGGACGCAGTATGTGTAATTATGTCTAAGTCACCAAAACGGGTGTTTTGAGAAGTTAACAATAATTTTATCGTCTTCACTATACCGAAAACACGTTACCAGACTTCATCAGTGCTTGCATAGTGTTGTCATGGGATGCGACAATTCCTTTGGAGAACGGTGTTGAGTACAGAAAGATAACTAGCATTTTCAGGTCGAACAGGCTAAGTTCCCATAATATACGACAGAGTTGCCGCAGTTTATTCCACCTTTTGTAGTGTGGTATCAAAAATGACCAGGTCCCCATGACTTGGCGCCTGTCATAAAAAATTAATGCTCGAACATATGAAACCCTCGACTATTTTTGGCGAACCACGTAAGGCTTCCAACATCGACTTTTCTGTCGTAGTAGTGTGGTGTGTGCTACTCATATTGACATAAGTAGTATATGATACTAGTCGTGAACAGGCCTGGCAGCAGGGAGACAAGAAGATCGAACAGTAAAGAATCGAAACAGGATGCGATTTGTATGAAAATGCAAGAACAATGAAGTTTGAGTCATTTTGAGATAATTGGTGGACATTTTGCAAATTAAACATTTACTTTATGATTGTTAGATTTGGTTAACAAGTCCTGTAATTTTGTGTTAAATACATTCGATTGTCCCACCCGTGTTCTGTTCACTACAGTAGTACTTTGCGTTTTGACAGTTCAAGCCAAGTAGTATACGGGCGCTGAGCACTTATTGACCAATTTTGATTTGTGACCTATGTAGTACCACGTAGTAAGACAAAAAAATCCAGGCCGAAGTTTGTGTCTAGACAACGCATCTGTGACATCATTGCATTTTTCCTCTAGAGTTGTCTCCAAAACACTATGTATGGGTAAGCAAAAGATTAATGGGGAGATTAGGTTAACTCCTACTGGTTAAATGCCATTACTATGCCTCATGCATTTGCTACGAGGGACTTTCTGAATGCTAAAACACCAGACAAACCTTCCTACTTATTTAGTCTTTGTGCGACTGATCAGAAACAACCCCAATATCATATTACGGGACGCTAGTCGATCTGCAAGTCACCTGTTAGCAACCAAGCGGGAAGTGAACATCTGGTCACTGCATCGATCACGTTTTTTTCCGCATAATTAGCGCAATATGGTGGAAACTAATACTTCAACGCAGCTGGTAGCAGGATTTATGCCTTAGTGATTAAGATATCTTTTTAAAGGTGGTTACAAGGTACCAACTTGTCATTCTTTCAAACGTCACAGTGAACAGAGGGCGCTTCGAACAAGTCTAAATCAACGACCCTAGTTCTTTGAAGCATAAACACCACCAGTAGCAATCGCGCTATTTTTCCATACTACCAGGTAAACAGGAAGGTATCCACTGATTTCTTTGCAGATATTAGTAACTAGAGATAGTAAATAGAAGTACTTATGGAATCAGCAGAGGCGATATACAAAGGAACATAGTATCTGCAAAAATACTCTGAATATCACAAATCAGGCGATACGCTTTTTTTTTTACAATACTAACTGAAAGTCACGGAGTGCTGTTATTACTTAACACTTACATCTTTAGATTTGTTATAACTTGTGCCCTATTAATACATAAAATAGTGATGTAAATGGATATACAACAATTACAGGGAAATAATCATGATACATAATCTGTTTATTCAACGTAATGGCTCAGCTGGGCGGTAAAAATACGAAAGTAAAGTAAACTGCAGCAACAAAGATAAAGTCCAGATACCACGTTAAAACCCAAAAAATGAATGCTTGCAGGTTGTTTAGAACGCAGATTAATTGTTTTAAAACTATTTCGTTGGTCGACAAGGATTATATCGATAAGCCAAACACCGTAACAATGAAATACATAGACTTGTTTTCCCATTTTACTGTACAACTCCCTGAAAAAATACAAAATAGTAATAATTGGCATGAATGTTAATATTGCATATGTAGCAGATTGTCATAAAACCGGTGGATCTTTGAGCTGAAAAATTCACGTCATACTTTGACTTAATCTGCAAATTTAATCTCTAAGCTCTGTTTAAACTTCTAGACGGAACTGAATTAAAGAATTTTGTCCGTGAATATACAGTCTAATAATGTCTTTCTATCTCTTACAACATATGAAATACACTAGAACTGCCTGGCTGAATAATTTTGTAAGAATTTGTAGCATTAACGATACCTACTGACGATAATGTTAACTTAGTGTTACAAATAAGCTTACTATGAGGCTCCCAGATCAAGATTGCAAATACAGTCGATGCAGGAGAGGTGGTCAGTTCCAAGCCCTTTTAATTATCTTAAGAATTATCTGCCAACAGACTAGTAACAACAATCGCCTTTTGCATTGCTACTCTACTAAGTGTTTTCTTTGACTAACACCAACAAAAACCTATTTAGTGGTTGCAACATTAGCTGGTAGATATAGACTGAATTGTGGTTAGTTAAGATGGAGTTTTGGCAAGGAGTTCTTGCTTTCGGGAAGTATCTACCCGTTTTATAACAATGGATTTCTTCGTAATTGTGTCTGAACTTGGAAGGATTGAAGAGTGGTTATCCCATACATTATTTTCAGTCAATGTTTACCTTGATGTCATTAGGAATCTCAGATAAAATGTTTTAAAAGAACCTTTCATAATATAGTGTATAGCGATCTAGTTATAAGTTGACATCAATTCTGTAAAACTAAGGCTCCGGATAGCATGAAGTAGAGAGTAGCCACCAATGGTAATGAGTTGTCCGTAAATTTACTGAAGGACTGACTTTTAAAAATATAGGTAAGATTAAGTGTTAAAGAATCATTGCATCAAGACAGGATTCACTAGTCTAAATAACGTAGCTGTTGTAATCCGCATTTCGACATCCAGCTACTGTTTCCCAACCCTAAGATCAAATACAATTACAGTGAGCTAACCCAAAAGAGATTTGTCCACCGCAAGGCACAATGATGAACATTTCTGAAGAAGTATTGGCTTAAGAGATAAACATGTATGCCGATCATATGCTAATTAATATTCTTTCTCATCTCGAATGAGTCATTCAGAAAAACTCACATTGTGTGGTAAATTTCTACTTTAGCTTTCGATTTCACATGCATCTATCAAAATTACAAGTAACAAGCGCATGCATCTCTCAAAGTTAGGAGGAATAGGGTTTTATTTCCAGGCTATTCACCGTTACAGTTTTCAGATAATAAATATCATTAAGTGTAATCTACGTGAACTTTAGCGAAGCTCTCGACAAGATTCTGTATGATAAGTTTTTATCAAACATAGAGAGCTGATACCTGCTTAAATGCGTCAAAGATTTTCTTGTTAGTTGTCGAGAAAGTACTCATTAACTAGTTTGAAACAAGTAATTAGTGGATTACCACAGGGCTCTGTACTAGGTCATATTTTTTAAATCTTTTATGTCGACGAACTTCCGTATATAATCGTATCTTTAATGCCACTTCGTTCTGATAACATCAAAACACAGCGACGTAGCACCAGATGAAGACGTAAGAATATTCTAGACTAACTTTTACGTATTGTTAAAGTGTTCTGGGAGTGAACTGTTTATTTATTTGAACACAAATATTGGTACAAAGGGTCACCGAATTCATATGCGCCACACAAGTCACTTGACTTGTGCATGTGCTGTGATGTTGCCCGGGTGCCCAGACCGGAGCAGGTGGTTTTCGTAGAGTGCCACACCCTAAGCCTTCTACGTAAAGGTCTAATCCACGAGGCAGTGGAGCGACGTGTGGAGATGCATTCTTGTGGTGGCCGGTGGCCAACACTTGGTCCATACGCCACTTGTTCCTTCAGGATCCCGGAGCCCATGTACACCATTGGTTTGGAAACAGGGTTTTCCAGCTCTTCTAGGTGGATCCTCCATATCCGTTAACCCAGTTTTTCGTCCTCTCGATTTCGTAAACAACAGTGAGTAAAACTTACCTGTCAGTGGCTGTATACACGTGGTCATATGAAAGCGTTTCGAGAGGGAGAGCAGACTCTCACCCTCAACTGTATCAGGGAGACAGTGAACACCTATCGATGCAAGTGTCCCAGTGTGAATTGGACACAGACGGCATTAGCTAAAAAGTTGGCGATCCATCCTTAGGGTTTCTTTTAACTTTCTCCTACATCGACTTTCAACTCTAAATTTCCTCTCTCGGCTTCCTGCTCAAGTGTCACCATAGCCAACGATTCTAGTGCTCAAAACACTGTCCCAAGTCTACTGAAACCTCG